ACTGTGGTTGTCCATTCTGCGCCTGATTTACTGAATAGCAGATTATCACGCATAATGCAACGAGTAAGCGGACATTCGGAAGCAATCTCGGGTAAAACCGATCCCCACATGCCGTACAAGCAAACATGGGATGTTTTTCCACGGCTCTGGCACTATGAAGTCGAAAATAACGCCGCCTCCCCGCCGCAAACTGTGGCGAGGAACACAGACGCGCGATGTCAACATGCAAACGACATTCTAACGGTCTTGTCGTCCGGAAGCGCTTCACATTCCATTAGTGTGAATTTGTTTTCTAGGCGTGACACCTCGGGTACAGCTCGACCAATTGCACCATCGCTGGTTCTATCTTTAGCGCGGCAGCACGAATCAAGGGTGTTTCGAACGTGTTGCGCACAGCGCGTGAAACGAACAGCTGCAGCCACCACCATCTCTGGTGGCAGCGCCACGCGGAGCCTCTTTTCTTGGCGCGGGGGACAACGAGGAACTGTGCGGCGGGTGTATTTTGCACTGGCACGGCGTGCTGTTTTTTTTTTAAAATCCTAATCATCCAACTGTCCTCGTTTTCAGCGCGAACGCGAAGGCATATGTCGCCGTCCCGCTTGCCAAGGCATGCTGAAAGTTTTCCTTCTGCGGTTGATAACCATATAAGACAACCAAGAACCCGCGGAGATCCCAAAAAGATCTCAGTTTTAAAAGAAACACGCAGCATTGAATTTCAAAAGAAAAAAAAAGGCAAATCGCTAATACCTTTCAGAATTCCGCAATAGACAATATTCTAAACGCTCCCCAATCTGATCATAAGTATCAAGTGCGCGGATGCCTATGAGATTACGCAAGCATTCGCTGTAACCAAAACTAATGCAACTAACTCGGCGCATGCTCAAACGCAAAAGAATGCAACTTTCGGTTCGCAAAAGCTTTTCATCGTGCGTTTCAATTTCATTATAATAAATTTACACCAGTGATATCATCAACGTTTGGCATTGACAGAGCTTGCCAAGGTTGGAAACACATATACAGTATTAGTGGGCTGCGCAATCAGTTTGAATTTTTATCACTCGGTGTTAACACCCAGCTATAAGTTGGCAACGTCCCTCGCTAGACGTTTGCGCTTGTGCGGAATGCGATTACGGCACGTGCACGGAGGTTTGCGGCAGCGGTTGTTGGGCTTAGGGCTGTTCCACGCGCTTCCCACACAGCCGCAACGCACGTGCCGGGACCCCTACCACACGCAAGCAGGGGACAAATAGGCTAAGGGTCTCTACGCGCGCTTCCCGCACAGCCGCAACGCACGTGCCGGGACCCCTACCACACGCAAACGGGGGACAAATAAGCCAATTGGCGACGCTGCGGAGGGTGAAAGAGCGTCGCCAATTGGCTTATTTGTCCCCCGCTTGCGTGTGGTAGGGGTCCTGGTCCCGGCACGTGCGTTGCGGCTGTGCGGGAAGCGCGTGGACCGGCCATTACGCAGTGCGTGGCACGCGAGTCCCAAGCTGAAGCACACTGCTCATTACCGGATTAACTGGCGCTTGCGCAGACCAGCTTGTCTATCGGTACAAACAATTCCTTCGCACAATAAGAGCTGAGAAAAAACGTAACAGTTCCCTGTTAAACTCGATAAAGACGGTCAAATGCGCTTATTCGTACGGCTACGCTTATCAAGCGGTTACGTGTACAGAGTCCAGATCATAACTATACCACTGCCAGTCTGCACCAGTATCCATTTTGTTGTTGTTGCCGCCAAAAGCAGTGCGTGAGAGTGGGCTGTCGTGCAAGGACGGGGTGCCCCCCATTCTTCAGACACCAACGTGACCATGGGGCTTGCCGTGCACTCGGCTCCTACATTCTCGGCTATACGGCCACTACTCAGCCATTGCTCTTTTACATGTAAGGCAGAAAAGCAATCAGGTAAGAGACGGTTGAGCTTGAAAGCGCGCGCGCACCCGTGCGTTATATATCTCGTATATATTATATGTACTCGTGTGGAGGGCACCCGAAACATTACATATACTTCTACTCACTACGTGCTCAGCCTTGATGCGACAAAGAGAGGCATAGTGTGTGAGTATAAAATATGAGTGTGCTTGCATAAACCGTGCGAAGCCGCTCCCGCTAGAAGCGACGTTACATGATATAAGGCTATAAGAGGCAAATGTGCAATGTGCGGCGCTGCCGTGATTGTCGCCCTACTTAGCTCTACGAAGCGATCTTTGGTGCATTGTGCGTGTAAGTTACGTGCGGCAAGCTTTCACGAGGCAGCCTTTGGTGGGCATCATTCGTTGTCGATGAGACAGCGCGGAGCAGTCGGCATAACTGGAGTTAATAATTACATGGCTTGTAGGAGGGGGTACCCCAGAAACAGATACACATATAGAATCTGGACCTTTTGTTTTTTTTTGCTTTGTTTGACGTGAGCTCATCGTTGGGAAAAGTTATCTCGTCATGTTTCTAGAAGTTCACTCGCTCTATCAGAATAGGCAGAAAGAAAATAACGAAATTAGAATGTTTGCTAGGCTATCGTTTGCACGAACCAAGCGCAAAATATTCGATTCACAAGTTAGGCTGAGCCTGCCTGACCAGACGCCATTTCGACATCAGCTCACTGTTACGGTGCCAGATAATAAAACGCAAATCCAGCGTGCCCCGCTATATACGAGTGACTTCGAACCAGGGGCTTCTGAGAATTAGCGCAAACGTGGCGAACAGAATCAGTTCCGATGATCTGGCACGGGTCTTCAATTCGACATCAGCTCAATCGAATCGGCTTGTATTTCCACGAGCAGGACAGGCAAATCTGGACTCGACACGCTCCTATTGAATTCACGTGGACGCCTTACACACATTTGAACTATAGACCGATGTCGTCAGACGAGGTTATCTCACCGACAAAGTGATAGTAAACGGAAACTCGTTCGATTAGTACCTTTCGGACATCCCATGTTTTTCTTCGCACTCAAAAATCTTGCGAAGAGCGTTAAGTCTAATATCAATTTCGACATACGGCTCTGTCATCACATCTACTCCCAATTTTTATTTTCTGCAGTGTACGCGCCTCGTGTGCATGCTCGTCTTAGACTATTTCCCGGGTGAACAAACTCAAACGCTTAACTAACATAACGGTGGTTCAATCATACTCCTTAATCCGGGTAAACTATTACAATCACGAGAAACAAAAAATAGAAAAAGCCGATGCAATGATTCTGTCCGACATTTATGATCCGCGTGATCTGAAGGCACCTGTTGACTAGCTCTCTTGTGACTGAGCGACATCCTAAATATACACTTTTTAAAATTCTTTTCGTACACCACGAACAACGATACAACGAATGAAAGGCTCCTCTTAAGCTAGCAAAAGTTCTGGCTCACTTTGGGCTAAGCGAACACTCTTTCAATAAAAAATGAAAGCTGCTACCTGCACTAGCATGTCCTACACTACAGCAGGTGCTAGCACGTCCTGCTTGGCACATTCCGAAAAAGAGGGACCCCTTGGACACTACATCTACAAGTGAGCTGATACAAGTCTCTCTAAACTGCATGGAAGCGGACGTACATACTTCAAGGGCAAATGGAACCGCAGTTCCGAAGTCCGCAAAGGACAAGGCTTCAAGTGTGGTGGCTATAGTAATACGCTCTTCCCCGCACGCGTTTAGTGTACAAGAAACTTCGGAGGCAAGCGGCGCTCTTACATAAATAGAGTGCTATACAACGCTAAATGTTTGTGGGCATAGTGGCACGAAGGCAATGCTGGAACAGAGATCTGTAGACACGCGTCTATATCAAACTGGCGGCGTGGCTTGCTATTCATGAAAAAAAGCTACCCTGGCGCTTTTTCTACCCGTTACGTAGTATTCAAGCAAGCGTACCTGTAATGCGGTACATGCAAGTAATTTAGGTACTCAGTGTAAGCACGGCAGGCAATCGGTTTTGCCAGCAAAATATGGCGCCATACTTCGCGGTAAGAGCATCGGGTGTGACCGAGCTACTATTGTTTTCGCTACATATGGGACTCTCTCATGTATACCTCCATTTCGGAAAGTTGTATGATGTACGAAACTCTTATCAAATGTTATTCCTCTACTAAAGAGGGACAACGTGTCTTTGTAAGGTAAGTTATCCACGTAAGAGTCACATACTATAATTATATGAATCTCTCTTCTTTTTGTTAGAATGCACGGTCTCTAAAGTAACCGCACGTAGGCGACAAACCGAAGGCCATAGCTGGCGTCGCTCGATACCGCATGCTCCCGGGAACGCAACGCTTGTTCTTTGCGGTTCGGGGCGTTCAAATGCAAGACACGGTGGAGGACGTGTTAAAAGTCAACAGTAACGACGGGCAGCACTGTGGTTAACCAAACAGGCACCGCGCTCGAAGCTAATAAATGCACCTTTTCCATGGCCAGGTGAGTACGACATAAAGGTCTGCCGCATAGCTGAACACCTTCAGTCGAAGGCTATTACAAAATCAGCGATGGAACCAATGAAACTTCGTTTGTGTGAAGAATTCGTGAAAAAACATCTCGTATAGTGTGTGGCTGAACCTCACAGATAGCCCGCAACATCTCAAAAATGCATTATGGAGGGACAAATCCCGGCACAAGAAAAGAACGAGCAAGATGATGAACACTGGGACAGCAAGGACACGATGACAACAATACACAAAGCAAAAAAAAAAAAAAACCTCACTAACACAATGACTAGGTTCCCGCCTATTCCCCAAAAGGCATCTCTGAACTGTCGTCGAAGGCCGTGCTCACGCTAGTCCGAAAACTAGCACGCGTGGATAAGTTTCGAAAGAAGTAAAAGAGACAAGTTTGGCACTGCGTGGTGTCACTGGGTTTTTTAGATAAAAAGTGCTTCTGTTATAGTAACTTTTTTTTTGCGGAGGCACTGCTGCCTTAACTTTAGATCCTATACGCGAAACATTCCTACATTTCAATACAAGTTTGTAAAAAGCTGTCCTGACGTACACAACAACGTCGGACAACAAGATGATGGTAGACATACTGCAAAATTGTGAACTACAAACGTGAGTGGCTGTTCACCTAACACGGCGGCTTCGGCGGCAGTTCAGTGCCAGACTCCAGTACGAGCTAACAAGCAACATCTCTCTTTGAAGCAAGCCCACTTTGGCACCACGGGGCGGAAACGTCTCTCAGCAACGTATAGAAGGCACAACGAAGGAATAAATAAAAGAAGAGGCGCGATAAAAGAGCACTAGTGACGAAGGTGGTGTGGTAACGATGCTGGAAGCCCTCCTGCTGACCGCGCGCGCATTCTTCTCGAATGCTGCACGGAACTGCACGCTAGACGAAGCACGACAGCACCCTTGTCCGTGGCGTTGGCGGCGCCGTCACCGCTTAGGCAGCAGCAGCATCGGCGCAGTAGACATGCGTGCAGCAGACCTCGGTGCCGGCCCTTGTGCAGCGCCTCGTGGAAGTTGGCGGAGGCCGTGGACGGAAGCTCGCTGTCCTTGCGCAGCAGACGGGCGGCCTAGCAGCACGAGCAGCACGAGCACCGAGCCGCCCGCGATGGGCACCGCGATTACCGCCGCCCGGAACCACACCAGGCGCGTCAGTGAGGCAGGAGTGCTGCTCGACGCCTCCCCTGGTCCGCGATTCTGCGCGCGAAGAAAAGACGCAACGTTCTTGTAGGAAGGTATGCTGAAAGCGTTGTCCCGATGCAACAAAGTTAGCCGCCGTGAAGAGCGAGCGAGTCAATGTCCAGCAATCTAGCAAAGAGTGTGTTCCTCCAGGACCGCCGAAGACGGAAGGCGATACACGAGACAGTGCTGTTTACACGTATGGTGGACGTTCAATTGCGACTGCGACTGTTTTCTAATCGCATTAGAATTGGGGGAATGTAGGTGTGGCGTACAGTAATATTTGGCGACAACCAGTCAGCAGCTATGGGAAAGAGGGAGAGATAGAAACGACATTAAGGCTCCCTGGCAGCTGCCAATCACAGCAGCCATCGAAAAATGCAAATCTTCAGCACTGACGCCTTAGCTGAAATAGTCGGGGGATGTGGCAAATGTTGTATTATCGCGAAGAGAACGCGTACGGGCACGAATATATTAGAGCTTGACCGCGAGAAACATGAGAAACGTAAACGATTCTGCGGCAAATTTTACAGTAAAAGAAAGTTCGAAGACGCAGCACGTGTACGATTGAAACAGCGTTATAATAACCTTAGTGAAAAATCTGTCGCAATGTACGAGTAAGGGAGCGAATTTTCCCGCGTCACAATTTACACTAAGCTCTTGTGTCCTGTGACGATCACAAAGTGGGGATACTGTAGCGACCCCTTCATTAGACATTAAGACTACGGCAAAATAGAAGTGGAGAACGGGGTCCGGACATGTACTTTGCTGAAGAGGTATTGGTAATAGAGGACGATTGCATTGGTACTGCATTGGTACTGGAGGACCATGGTATTAGTACTGAAGAGGCATTGCAGGTACGTTCTCGTAACGACAGCAAACTTCAATAACATGATCGAATGCTAATCGAAAAGGGCAACGCTCGTGTTTATTCCCTTTTTAAGCGTACACCAGGTCCCATTTGCACATGCTAAGACACGTCCATGCATGTGATTATGCTCGCTTATAGCAAGAGAACGAAGTCTACATTTTCTGCATCACAACGCAGGCAAACTTTGCTTGAACGCGCTCTTTGAAGTAACTGTCATTAGTTGGACGGATCACATCACAGGGAAGCTAGCTTTACCATTATTAATTTGCCATGATTATCATATTGTCACGTGCTTGCTCAAGAAAGACGATGACAGTTGTGCATGTGCCACGAAGGACTACGAAATGGACGAAGAAGAAGAACTCGCTTGCGCGTTCTAATTAAAAAGATCGACCTGCTTCTGGTGTCTCAATATCTACGGCAAGACCTCCGTTTTGACGTCGTGACAATATTACCCCCAAAGGTCTGTTGGAAAACACAAAATGCACGCTCTGTGACTTCGCATCCCTTACCGGAAGCACCAGGCTCCTGGAAATCCCTCTGGAAGTTGCACATGTCATCGCTGCAGCACTGCCGACCTTCAGGAGACAACCGAGTCTCCGAGATCGTCGAAGGCGCGCCGTCGGGTTCCTTGCAGCCGTAGTTGGCGGCGTCGTCTGCGACGTCGGCCACGAGATCGACGCAGCCGTGGCGCGGCGCCGTCGTCGCGGCGACGTTTAAGACCGACGACGTCATCTTGACGTTCTCCGAGAAGCAGAGCCCCAGCTCGGACTTGCACATGTAGCCCGTAGACACGCACGGCGCCAGGTTGCAGTGGCAGCGGATGTCAGCTGCGAAAGAGTGGACAAGCCGTGGTCGTCAGTGGACGTGCGCCAGGTATACAGTTCACAGCAGACACTGTTCTTTGGTTCCGCAACAAGCCATCAAACTCGCGTAGCAGCCCAGCATTACTCTTGAGGCAATAGTCAAGTTCTAGCTCCTTGCTTTACATGTAATCATAATCATCAGCCTGACTAATCCCACTATAGAGCAAATTTAGGCCACTATCATATTTCGTCCGATTAACTCGGTGCTGTGCTATCTGGGGGCCACGTTATCTCCTCAAACTTCTTAATCTCATCTGGACACCTAACTTTGTGCCCTACTCGCTCGTATTCTTTTGGAATCCAGCCTTGTACTCTTCATGACCAGCGGTTATCTTGACTTCGCGTACGCTGTCCGTGTCCCCCATTTCTTCTTGATTTCGACTAAGATGTCATAAACCCCCGTTTTTTCACCTTTGCGTGCATTATGGCGTTAATGGGTTACCGTGCGCTCTGTGTGAAGAAAGCACTTCTGCTCACTCTGGACACGCAGTACGGAAATTCAGAATAAGACAGCAGTAGTAGCATGTGTTGATTGTTTTGTTGTTTAATTTTTTGTTTAATGACGAATATACTTCTAGCGTCCGACCGCCACCGTTATTGTGAGGATTAGGCGCTGCTTACTAATTGCATGAGTATATGAATTCGTGTGTGTCCGCTAGTTTAGAGCAGCCAGGGAAAATTATAAACATAATCCAAGAATCGTCAGAAGAATCAATGCGAATTTTTTCAGTATAGGCTTGTTGGATTAACAAACTTACAGCTATAGTATGCCAAATATCTGGCACCTTTTCTTCCCGAAGACCATTTTTTATGCAATATAGCCAGACGCAACTACGTATCGAAATCGCTGTTATTCAGTGAGGCACTGCCGCCTGCAATGTCTTGTTGAACAGAGAATGCAGACTTGTTTTTCACGCCGTTTCAAATCTCAGACGTTTGTTCATTCAGTCGTTATTTACACACAAAAAATAATCGTATTGTCGCGAGAGCCATGTTTCGCGGAAAACCTTGTTCTTTTACGGCTCACAAGCGGAGCAGTCAAGGTCGCCCCCGTTCGGGATAAGGGGAAAGCTTACTCGGAAAAGCGTCTAGCGGGAGGCAGGTCCGGCGCCACCGTCTGAGTCTAAGCCATTGTTAACAGGCACGCGTGTCATTGAGAATGACATGGGGACGCGACCACTTAGCCTGACCGAGACATAGTGGCGACCATATTCTCTCGCGCTCTTGTTAGGATGTCGGGGCGCCTCGCTGTCGCATGTACACCTGGTAAGCAATGGTGTACCCATCGCTCTTAAGGACGCTTCTAGGAAGCAACAGTTAATGAAAGAACTGACGGGGCCCGAGCGTGGGAACGGCCGCCGACGGTAGTCGGCCGAAGGAGGCAGCACGGCCTGGTATGGGAGAGAGTGTCCCGTGCGGAGAACTTATCCCTTTGCGTGTTTCATTTGGTAAGGAGGTTTTTACAACTGTAGTGCCATTTATGAAAGTGTTTCTGTGATTGGTTGAGATGCTGCGAGTCCGAACATGTGATTGGTTTTTGTGAAGACTCTTTGTTCGACCAAGGGTTAAAAAGAGGATGTTTGAACTTGAAAAGTGAGCGGAGTCGGGGTAAACAGCGGATCTCATCACGGGAGACCAGGCCATGCAGGCCGAGGGGTATGTCACCATTTTCTATGTTTTGTCTTTGTGACCCAGTGCATTTTGTAAATTGAAGTTGTGTTAGCTAAATAAACCCCCAATGAGTGCTCCCCGAAATCATCGTGTTGACTTCTCATCGATTGCCTCCGCGGAGTTTCACCCACACTTATTCGTCTCCCTGGTCGTCCGATGCGCCTAACTTTGAACAGCCCCGACGTTTCGCTACAGTATTTCGAAAAAAAAAAAGGCTGTATCGTACAATAAGAGTGCAGGCAGCGCCCTCTATAGTGACATCATACCACATCAATACAATAATACAACGGTCCAACACACAGATCCCATTTGAAGTCGCAAAGATGCTTCATTAACTTCGAAACTGTAAGCTTCCCCACGATTATTTCGAAACACTAATGCGAGATGCTGCTCTCAGATTTTTTTTCTTTTACCTAATAGGAACGGGTAATGCCTCTTCGTTTGATGGCGAGCGAATGATGTGGAAACGACGTAAGATTATCCTTAATCTTTTATCTGCTCAGCAAACGAGGGCAATGCGAATCCAACTGCATCTCCGTCTATACCAAGGACAGCGGGCACCGTAGGGGTCCCGGATGAAACCGGGGGGTCCCGGCTCGTTTTCAGTCGCCGATATCGTCGCGCATCTCTGCGTCCCTTATGAAACCCCTCCTTCACTCTCCACCCGATGTATCTACTGCTACAGCTTCCGAACCGGAGGCGCGGGGACCGGAGTTCCTACTGTCCACAACGTTCTAGAAAGGAGGAAGGGGGGTCGCCTTCTGCCACCCCCAGGCCTACGTCCCTAGGTTTTGGACATGTGTGTGTGTGTGTGCCCCGGGTTGGAATAATGACGTCGGCCATCAGACGCGCCGCCGCCAACGTCGACGACGCTGGCCCGAATCCGCCGCCGCGGTGTGTGCATGGATGCGTGAAGGCCCGACTCAGCGGCGTCGTCGTCACCGCCTCCCCGGCGCACACTCAACGTGGCCCATCGCGCTCTCCTTGTGACACCCTTCCTCATCGCTCCTTTTTCCCTTCTTGGGCGTCTTCAGCGACGACAGCGCGCACTTGGCGTATACTGCCGACGGCGCCGATGCGCTCCTCCCTTCCTCTCTCTCTCTCCATATTTCTCTTTTCCTTCTTGACAAGTCCTGGCGCCTCGATCCCCACCCCACCCTTCAACTTTCTGCTCCGTCCTTGTTTATTTTCTACGTATCGCTTCCTTATATTTTGGTTCGCCCGTCTGTCTTGTCGCTCATTTTGCTTTACTTTGCAAAACTTTTTTTTTTTTCTAATCTTAATGAGAGGCGAGCGGGGCGGGCGTCGGTGAGCGAGTATCGGTGGTCCAGTGCCAAAACAAACTCACGAGACCCCCCCTCATCTCACTTCTCATTTTTACTTGGGTGTAAGGGGGATAGGCTGGTTCTTTCTGACCCTTGCCTGATGAGTGATGGAAAGCGTGTGCAAGCTAGCGATACGAAAATAAAAAAAAGAGAAGAGAGAGGGAGGGAGGGAGAAGCAGCCGCAACAGATTCGATCTGGCCGCGGGTATTTAGCCCCGTTTCCGAGTAATTGCGATAGCGACCGACGGGGCTTAATTCACTCGGCCTCGCGGGGGCGGGGCGCGTTCGCCCTGATTAAGGCTCGCTGCGCCTGCGCGCATTACGGATATTGTTGCTCGACCTCCCCCTCGTCCTCTAAACCTTGCAAGTTTCTCTCGGGCTACTTCATCTTGTTTGCTTCTACGGGCAAGCTAGCTTCGTTCTCAGAAGTTGCGAAGCTAGAAGGTATGCAGGGCTACTAATATAACGAACTTTCTTTTGCATTTGTGCCTCTTGACAAGCGCACAGTAACGATCACAATATGATGACACACGTAAACAAGACGGGTGCTGTTGCTGTTCATTCACGCCCGTCCTGTTTGGGTGTCTCTTCATCTTATGTTTGTTCCTGCGCACATGTCAGGGTGCGTAGGTTCAGTTACCGCCAACTAGCCGAAACTGCTGCGTCGAATGGTCTTACTTTGATTGATTGATATGTGGGGTTTAACGCCCCAAAACCACCATATTGTCGCGAGAGCAAGGTTTCCAGCTCCAGTATCTTCTCAGGAAATTTGTGCAAAACCAACTCCTGCTTCTTTTTTAAGTCTTTCTTTGTACTCTTCTACCTTTGGGTTTGTTTCTCTGGCCATTACAGAGCTTCGACTTTCGACTTTAATGGAATGTGGGATAAATCGTGTTTTCCAGCCTGGGACAGGCGCCTACACGCTGCATTTTACGGCTCACAAACCGAGCAGTCAAGGTCGCCCCGTTCGGGATTAGAAGGGGAAAGCTTACTAGGAAAAGCGTCTAGCAAGAGGCAGGTCCGGCGCCACCGTCTGAGTTTAAGCCATTGTCGGCAGGCACACGTGTCATTGAGAATGACATGGGGACGCGACCACTTAGCCTGACCGAGACATAGTGGCGGCAGGTAAACGACCATATTCTCTCGCGCTGTTGTTAGGATGTCGGGGCGCCTCGCTGTCGCATGTACACCTGGTAAGCAATGGTGTACCCATCGCTCTTAAGGACGCTTCTAGAAAGCAACAGTTAATGAAAGAACTTACGGGGCCCGAGCGTGGGAACGGCCGCCGACGGTAGTCGGCCGAAGGAGGCAGCACGGCCTGGTATGGGAGAGAGTGTCCCGTGCGGAGGACCTTTCCCTTTGCGTGTTTCATTTTGGTAAGGAGGTTTTTACAAATGTAGTGCCTTTTATGAAAGCGTTTCTGTGATTGGTTGTGATGCTGCGAGTCCCAACATGTGATTGGTTTTTGTAAAGACTCTTTGTTCGACCAAGGGTTAAAAAGAGGATGTTTGAACTTGAAAAGCAGAGGGAGTCGGGGTAAACAGCGGATCTCACCACGGGAGACCAGGCCATGCAGGCCGTGGGGTATGTCACCATTTTCTATGTTTTGTCTTTGTGACCCAGTGCATTTTGTAAATTGAAGTTGTGTTAGCTAAATAAACCCCCAATGAGTGCTCCCCGAAATCATCGTGTTGACGTCTCATCGATTGCCTCCGCGGAGTTTCACCCACACTTATTCGTCTCCCTGGTCGTCCGATGCGCCTAACTTTGAACAACCCCGACGTTTCGCTACAATATGATTATGAGAGACGCCGTAGTAAAGGGCTCCGAAAATCGCGACCACCTGGGGTTTTTTAACGTGCACCCAAATCTGAGCACACGCGCCTACAACATTTCCGCCTCCATCGGAAATGCAGCCGCCGCAGCCGGGATTCGAACCCGCGACCTGCGGGTCAGCAGCCGAGTACC